TTTTTTATTTATATTTTTGTGAAATTTTTATAATAATATACTGATCTACATTAAAAATAAGGCTACAACATAGAGTTTTCAGATATCAAATAACAAATAACACGGTTGCCATATAAAATATACTCTGTAGTTAAGAACCGTAGCCATTTTAAAAGTTTTTCGTATTTTTTCACGCATGCGTACCTAAACATAGTGCCTGTAAACGACCGTGGTAAGCAACCCATAATAAGTAAATAAAACTAAAAAAAAAAAAAAACCGCGTATAGAAAAGCCTAGAAACTACTTTAAAATAGAAAAGCCTAGAAAATGACGTAATTTGACTAATAATGTATTAATATTATCAGACTATAAATGCTTCCAAATAATGTGTTCAAAGTATATTTTTTACTACATAATTTTTTTCTTGAGATATTTTCCTTTTGATTTATTTCCGAATAACTTAGCTTATAAAATTTATAAAATATTTATTATGTTTTGCATTTAAATTTATCGTTTACGGTGATACTTATGTTTAAAACTGTAATTAGAACAACCAATCCAAATGCAGTATATTTAAAAAGGCAAATATAATACTTTATAATTCACAAGTCCGGGCCTTGATCAGAGCCGGGCCCCAGGACAATATACCCCCTGGCCCCCCTCACTACGGCCATGTATATATATATATAATATATATATATATATATATATATATATATATATATATATATATATATATATATATATATATATATATATATATATATATATATACATATACATATACCCAAGAAAAAACTGATTTGGATTTAAACACTGACTATGATAATAACAACTAATGTAAGAATACACTATGTATATATATTTAAAACTTTTAAATAAATATATTAACACTCTTCCATTTATAATATTATTTACATTTTAATAGTATTACTAGTGTGTGTATATATATGTGTGTGCATAAGTGTGTATGTATGTGTTTGTATTTACTTAAAAAAATCTGAATTTTATTGGACATGATCAAATTCTTTTCTTAGCCATTCAGTATCTCTATAATATTTAGGATGAGCCAATTTCAAAATGGCACGCTTATAACTAAAGTAGTAAGTAATTGATCCTAAAAAAAATATTATTTAAGAAAAAAAACTATTTAAGAAAAAAAACTATTTAAGAAAAAAAACTATTTAAGAAAAAAATTGAAGTTAAAGTTTATAAAATTCCAATTAATAACACTTAAACCTCTTATGTATTTTCATGCAACTATGAAAAACTTTTTTTTTAACTAATTTCACTTCCACAAGACTACAGAGAAGTTACTACAGTAAGAGAGGGATTTTTTTTTTTTTAATTTTACTTGCAGCTCTCTCTTCTAAACTCTGAAGTAGGCTGCATTAAAATGTCTATAAAACCAGCCTCTTATTTCTGATTCTTTTTTATTTCTAAGAAAAGTGTAAAAACTTTGTTGTTCTCATTTTTTCTACCTATCTGAGATGCACACATTATATGTTTCCCACTTATCTGAGATACACAATGTAACTGCATAGCAGGGTTGGCAAAAAAAAAAACTTAACCCAAAAAAACCCAACTATATTTGGATTTTTTAAAAAATATCTTATTTTAAAACTAAAAAGTCTGATTTAGCTTCTATTATTGCTTTATAATATTCAAAGTTTTATAATATAATAACTCTTGTATACCCTGTATTTATATTTAAAAAAAAGGTATTTAGAATATTATTTTTAGTTTGAACTCTTTGCAGAATAATCCAAAATCTGATCAATTATTTTTTAAGCTATTTGGTACTTTATTAATTTTTAAACAATTAGCAAGTTAAATATTCAAAAATATTATTTAAATATGTTTATTTATTAAAATATTAGGGTGAATTAGTTAAATGTTTAAAAAGGAATATAAAATCATTGTATTGACTAGATTTCAAAGTACAAGAGATTACTAGTTTTTTTATATCTTTCTGAACAAGCGTTTTAGATCTGTCATTTTACATTAGTTGTTGATCTTTATTTTGTAAAGTTTATGCAAAACTGCAAATAACTGCGAAATTTAATACAAGGTCACCAGCTGAACACTATATAAAAATTGTTACATTTTATTCAGTCTGGAAGTGGAAAGTCATCAGGTAAAAAAAAAAAAAAAAAAATTGTTGACATCAACTTTAATTGACTTCCCCCTCCTTCATGTCAACAATTGTCAAAAAAGTTTAGACCCCCCTCCCCTCTATTTTGTTGACGTAATTAATGGACAACCCCTATACCTCACCCACAAGGATAGGTTTTGTTGATGGAAATCACACTCATGTTCATTTGTCTACAGGTTTGAAAATTTTATATCAGCTGCAAGTTTACAACATGTGCCGTCAATGGGGGTGACTATGAACAGCGGGGTGAAAATGAAAATCAAAACCAAGTTTACTAAAATGTGAAGAAACACACACAAAAGAGCTATATATTGTGTTATTTGGATTCAGTTGCTTTAAATGTAAAATAAAAAGCTAATTTTTGGCTGTGCAAACAATTTGCCTTTTTTCAGCATTTTTCTATCGCATATAAACAGCAAGAGTTCAGTAGAGGTGTAAGGGATATTTTTGCTGGATATGCAGGATATTGAACATTTCTAAAGTTCTATAAGTGTTTATGAAGTAAAAACAAGTCTTGCCATTCTATATTAAATAGTGTTCAAGATTAAAAAAAAAAAAAATCAAGAAAAAACTGGTATAACACAGGTATATGCGTTAATAATGTATAAGGAAAAATCGTTTTTACAGCCAAATTTTTGTTTTTTTTTAATCACCCTTTTCTAAACTTCTCCAGCACATATCCCAGTCATAGTTTTTCTCTTGATTTTTCAAAGTAAGATCTTGAATACTATTTATTGTAGACAGGCAAGACTTGTTTTTTCATCATAAACACTTATAGAACTTAAGAAAAGTTCAATATCCGGCATATTCGGCAAAAATATCCGGTACACTTACAGAGTTCAAGCAGTTAAGGAAATTTTTAAGTTATCTTAAAAACCACGTAACAAAACACCATAAAAGCTTTAAGTTAAAAACATCAAGTTAAGGTACATATTGTCTAATAACATCAAAATTCACTTGTAACTTGTCTGTATCTAATTCCTTGCTTATTTAAAATTACATTTTTTTATCAATAATTTAATTTTTTGTTGTTGTTAATTTTAGGAAATTTGCTTTGAAATTACTAAAGAAAGGAAAATAGCTGATATTATAAAACAAGTTACACTCAAGCAGACCTAGAGACAGCTGCAAATAAAGTGAAAAAACCATGGATTTACCATAGAAAAGGCTGCTAGATATAGACGACTTTTTTTAAGAATTGACGATTGTGCCCCCCCCCCCCATTTCATAACCCATGTCGTCGGCCCTGATAGTTCAACAGAAAGTTTATTTGTTCAATCAATTACTTATATGTCCGACTGGAAAAACAAAACTGAGATGATGAAATATCTCCCAGGAACCGTAATGGTTCTTAACAAATCCGTTTTAGATATTCTTAAGAACAATCTAGGCTTAGGCACAAATCCACTTGCAAAACAAATCTATCCATAATAAAATATATATATATATATTATGTTGTGTTCAATGTCAACCTGGAACGGCTAACCATTCTCACTCCATTTTTAAAATGAGACTATGATCACATAAAATAAGAAAATTAAGATATTTACTGCATATTGTTGATCAGGCTTAGAACTTTTCAAGGAAGCTGGATAGTATAATGTTCTGATAAAAAAAAGAAGCTATTAAGCTAACAGTTTTTTATGATGCGCATAAAAAGCTCATAAAAAGTGTTCATAGTCATCCCAATTGAAGATAATTTACAAAGTAGCAACATCATGTTGCAAACTTGTAAATTACATGTTGTAAACTTGTGCAAACTGGATTTTGAAGTTTCATGGTAAGCATGTTAGTATAAAAAAAACCTAGCAACATTTATATTATCTGAATTGAACAAACATTGAATAACTCAGTTGCCATAATTTTTATTGTGATTTTTTTCAAATCAAAAATATTCTGAGCATGTTTTTAATTTAATGCAACTAATTAACATCATTTATAGTTGAAGGAGTCCCCTTGTGCATCATAGATCTAAAATTTTTGTAACACATACAATAATAAAAATTTGGAAATTCAATCAGTTTTTAAAAAATAATAAAAAATCCAATAAAACTTAAAAAAACACATTTGGGTTGGGCTTTTTTTTAACCCTGCTGCATAGACATTGTGTAATAATCATAACACTATCATATTGCCTAAACTTTTGGTTCAGGTAAAATGATTAAAATCAAAAAGATCTACACTCAACAAACCTAAGACACTTACATCTTATGTCCAACCTAAAAAACGAAAGAATCATTTTGCTACATTTAACATAAAACTACTTCATGTATTTATAAAAACATATGTGTTTTATCACAAAATAAAAGATGCAGGGTGCAGAAAGAAAAACATATATCAGTCTCATTTAAGAAACACATTTTAAAAATTATTTTTCATAAAGTTGAAAAGTACTCTGTTTTTGTTAGACTAAAGAGGAAAGAGGGAGTTTTTTTTTTTTGTTAGACTAAAGAGGAAAGTAGAGAGAATTCTCTACTCATTTTTAAAGATAATTTAGATTCAAACAAAGAAAGGCGAATAAAGAAAAAACTTAAGGAATAAAATAAAGAAAGCCTATACTGAGACAGTAACAGTAAAAAAATAAGTACCAATTCTTTGTAAAGTATACAATGCTTGAAGTGCATCAGTCCAAATGAAGTTTATTTCAAAATTTGATGTTCTTCTCTTTAAAAAAAAAAAATAATAATAACTTTGAGTTAAAGTTACAACGTTTTTAAAATTTATTTATAAGTACTTTTTATTAAAATCAAATTTATTATTTTAAACTTCTTTCTATATATAATAAAATACTTTAATGTGTAGTGTGCCCAGCATCATAAATTCACATATTGAACAAAATTGATAATTTTTTGTTTTTCTAGTTAATTATAATGTTGCTGTTCCAAATCTGTTGTTAATGAAAAATTCTGACACGTGGTTCAATTTATGAAGGGCCTAAAGGAGAACCCATAAAAAAATCTTTTATCCAAAAAAAAACATCACTTATTAAATTTTTTTTGTTTTTATTTTGTTTTCTATTTCTTCTTTAGGAGTTGCATTAAAAGGAAAACAAAAACAAAACAAAAAAACATGCATTTTTTGAATAATTATAACGAAAAGTAATTTTGAGGGAGAGGCTCACCTTGTGTCTATCCGGGACCGCTAGATATTTATAAAAAATTTCAAAATAAGTTTAAAATGACTGCAATGGTATTAGCAAAATGTTATTAGTTATGAAGCGATTTTTACATATAAATTTTTATTTCTTATTTTGTGGTCTAAAACCTTTAAATCTGAATAAGTAAAAAAAAATAAATTGCGATTCAGTTTTTTTAGATTTTCTTTTTCTTTTTTTCTCTATTAAAATTACTTTACCAAAAAATTATTTTTAATTTTTATACATTTTTGGAAGAAATAGAAGAAAAAGTAATTATTTGATATATTTTTCCTCGTGGCTATCAGGGACCGCTAGAAATTTCCAAAAATATCTAAAATAGGTTAAAAATGAGGGTAATTGTGCCAGTAAAATAGATATGAAGCAATTTCTTAACAAAATACATATTGATGTTTTGTAAACATCATTTTACAAGAAACATCATTTTACAGTTTTTTGGCCTTAACAACGCTTATTAGATATAAAATTCTTGAATTATTTAAAGTCTTAAAATACTCAAATAAATAACCAAATAATTTTAAGATTAAAAGCGCATTTTACATCAAATAACGCTTTTGTATGTGTGGTTGCATTGTCGACGAGAATATCAATTCAAAAATTTACTGACTTCATTATTACGCTATATCTCAGTAGAGTTAGAATTTAGAAGGGTCAAAATCAATCATTTAAATGGCTTCATGCTTTCTTTAGTCAAATGTTTAATAAAGGAAGAGGATTCAAGTGACTTTATAGTGTGCCATCCAAATTTACAACCTTTTCTTTAAATGAATGTGAATGGAAAAAAACTTGTGAGAAAGTGAGAAACCGCAACTAATAAAAAAAACAGCAACAAGCATCATTACGTCTGGACTGTTATTTTGACAATGAAGTAATTCTTACTGTTACTGTTCACTCAGAAATTTGCATATAATATATATGCAAATTTCAAATTAAAAAAAACGATGTTTAATAATGCAGACTATACTACAAATAGAAACCAAAAATTTAAAAATTAATTCACATAACTTGAAATTTGCATATATATTATATAATCAACAAAAAGCTTATATTTATAATCTTATTATTTTCAGCAATTTGCATTTTGCATTATAACAAGTGTTTATTTAAATGTGTCGCCAACCTGATCTTTATGCTTAACAGCGTAGCTTTAGGTTTATTTGGAAGTTGTAACAGCTTTGTTGAAAGTCGTTAGCTTTTAGGATGTATTTTTTCAGGCTTAAATATTAATATATCTAATAAATCAATTAAATTAAATAGAGAATTAACTATGAATAAAACCTAATTTTTTTAAAAATTTTAATTATTTAAGTCTTAAAATACTTAAATAATTTACATAACAATTTAAGATTAAAAGCGAAGTTTAAAATAAGAATGATGTTTTACAGTTTTTTAACCTTAAAATAAAATCTTTGTTAAAAAATTGCTTCATAAAAAAGATATGGGGTCGTCCATAAATTACGTCACGCAATTTTTGACTGTTTTTAACCCCCCCCCCCCATCCTCCTTGTCACAAAATCGTAACACTTAAGAAGCGAGTTTTGAATGAGTTGTCACAAAACCACCAACCCCTCCCCCCCCCCTTATAGCGTGACGTAATTTATGGATGACCCCATATCTTTTTTACCTCTTAAAGAATAAATAGAAAACAAAATTAAAACAAAAAAAAATTTAATAAGTGTTTTTTTTTGGAAAAAAGATTTTTTATGGGTTCCCCTTTGGGACCTTTATAAATCGAACCACGTGTCAGAATTTTTTATTACCAACAGATTCGGAACGGCAACACTATAACTAACTAGAAAAACAACAAATTATTAACTTGGTTCAATATGTGAATTTATCATGCTGTACACTCTGCCAAAAATGATATTTTTTTCAAAAACATAAAATTTAAACAGTTTTTTTAAAGAAATCAAGTTTAAAATGTGATGTAAAAGCTAGTACTGAAGTATTTGATGTAAAAGTTAGTACTGAAGCATTTGATGTAAAAGTTAGTACTGAAGTATTTGATGTAAAAGTTAGTACTGAAATATTTGATGCAAAAATTAGAACTAATGGATTTGATGTAAAAGTAAGTACTGAAGTATTTAATGTAAAAGTTAATACTAAACAGGGTCGCAAAAAAAAACCCATTTTTTTTGAAAAAAACCAAAAACCATGGGTTTTTAAAAAAAAAACAAAAAAACCATGTTTTTTTTGTTTTAACTTCATTTTCATAGATGAGTATTTGACTTTATGAAAATCCCGGAAATTTATTTCTATGAAATTCCCGGAACATCCTGGAAAATTATTTTATTAAAAATTGATCGTACTAACTGACAACATAAACCTTTGTAAACTTTAAAAACAGAATTTAGATTTTTTTAGGAATTTCTAATATTTGAATTAGTTAATTTGAAAGAATTAAAAAGCAAAAAAAAAAGAAAAAATAATTGTTACGAAAATTAATCTCTTGAAAATTTTAGTTATAGAAAACATATTTGTTTAAATGCAAAAGTTGTCGTATTTATAATTTTATGTAAAAACATATAAATTTTTTTTTAAATTAATAACAAAAAACATCTGGAACTTTTTGGAAAATTAAATGAGTTTTATGTGAATTTCTAAAATTCCGGGAATTCCCGAAAAAAACTCATCTATGCATTTTTTTAAAAAAAGCCATGTTTAGTCAATTTTTTCAATTAAAAAAAAGCATTAGTCATTTTACTTGAGGAAATAATATTTTTATTAACATTACTGCTGTAATTCATCAATCAATACATCATTATTTAATGTTCTATATATAAAAACAAGATGGTGCATTTAAAAAACTTTCAATCAGAACTGTGGAGTCAGAGTCGCAAAATTTTTAGCAGAGTCAGAGTCCCTAAACAAAATCACAACTCTGACTTCAATAGTAAACTTCTCAATATTGTATGTGCATGTACTAAATAATTAACCTTCAAAGAATTTTTCATATATTTTGTAAAAAGAAAAATTTTAAATTATTGCGTAATAATTCTTAAAGAATTAGAAGAATTTTTCAAACATTTTGTATTGGAGTTGGAGCCGACAACTACTTTGAGCTGACCCGAAAAAACCACTTTGACTGGGTGAAAGTACAATGTTTTCTGACTCCAAAAATGTAAAATTTGAAATCCAACTGTTTTGTCCAAGAAAATAAATTTGATTTTAAGTTTTAACCATTTTGTACAATATGGCAAAATGACAGCTTTTCAAATTTTACATTTTTACAGTAAAATTTTAAAAGCTAAACAGCCGAGTATTTTCAATGATCCTGATTGGGAAGGTTCTATTCTAGACCTTAAACTTTTTTAAATTTACATTAACTTATCTTAGATACTCTCATATCTAAGGTGGTATTGTTCGCTGATGATACTACCATTTATTCTTTTCTTAAAAAACTAACAATAAAAAACTAACACTCTCTGTTTGCTTAAAGTGGGCATTTGAGCTTGAAAAAGATCTCACTTCTGCTACAGCATGGGACTCACAGTGGCTGGTAAACTTTAATTCAGATAAAACCCAACTTTTTTCAGCCAATCGTTATCACAACTATGTAGATTTTCCTTTATTTAAAAATGGTAATGTATTCGATAAGTCATCTACCCTTTATCTTCTAGGATTCTAAAAGAACTCTTACTTCAGATCTTTCTTGGAAACCATATATCAAATCGTTTGCTAAATTAGCATTTGTTAAGATTGCATCTCTTTATTGTGCTCGCTACTTTCATACTCGGGATTCTATTCTTTAACTCTATGAATTTCAACTCCGTCCTTGCATTAAATACTGTTACCATATCTGGGGTGGATCTTCCAATGATGCCCTTTCCTATTTTGACAAGGTGCAAAAACGCATTGTAAACATAGTTGGATCTGCTCTTGCAGCCAATCTCCAGCCATTGTCACATCGTCATAATAATGCTTCTCATTTTCTTTTCTATAAATACTATTATGGGCACTGCTATAAAGAGCTAACATCTTTTGTGTTATCTACTAAAATTCATTCTTGTGTTTCTCCTCATTCAATTAAGTCTCATCCTTTTACTGTGACTGTTCCTAAGTGCTCTAAAAACTTTTATTTGTCAAGTTTTTTTCCTTAAACATCAGTTCTTCGGAATTCGCTTCCTTAATCTTACTTTCCTGATTCATATAATTTGGAATTTTTTAAGTCATCTGTCATTCATTATCTTGCTTTATAAACTTTATCTTTTCTCTTCCAGAAACTTCCAACTCTAATAATGGTTGCTTGCAACCTTGTTGGAAGTAAATATGTTGAAAAAAAAAGTATCTATAAGACCTTTTTACATGACTTCTTGCAATAATAAAAAGAAATTTGTTCTCAATAGAAATGTTCATGTAAAAAAGATGAAAAAAATGATTACGGATAATATAGCACAAGAAGATGAAAAATGTAGAGTAGAATGAGGCTTGATTTGAAACTGGTTAGGAGGAATAAAAACTTCCATACCTTCATGGATCCAGGAGGTTAGGTAAGTGGTAGGGCTGTACA